TCCGTCCACTGGTTCACCCCAGGCCGCAGCCAGGAGTTTCATCTGGGTCTCCCACATGGGTGCAGAGGTCCAAGTGCTTGGGCCATCTCCAGTGCTTTTCCAGGCCATAGAGAGAGCTGGATCAGAAGTAGCGCTGCTGGGACCAGAAGTGGCGCCCATATGGGATACTGGCATTGCAGGTGGCGGCTTAACCTGCTACGCCATAACACCAGCCCCTAATTCTGGTTCTTACAAATTCTTTTTTTTTTTTTTTTAAGATTTATTTTATTTATTTGAAAGAATCACAGAGGTAGAGACAAGAGAGAGGTCTTCCATCTGCTGGTTCACTCCCCAGATGGCTACAATGGCCGAAGCTGTGCTGATCCAGAGCCAGGAGCCTCTTCCAGGTCTCCCACGTGGGTGCAGGGACCCAAGGACTTGGGCCATCTTCTACTGCTTTCCCAGGCCATAGCAGAGAGTTGGATTGGAAAAGGAGCAGCCAGGGCTTTCACCCGCTGCGCCACAGCGCCGGCCCCTCTTACAGATCCTTAACCAGCCTCTTTGCCGTGGTCCTCTCTACTGGTTCGCCCTGTGCCTGTCACCAGATTCCTGTTTTTCTACTCACAATTCCCCAGAGCTGCCTCCCTGTTCTTTCCAAAATGAGCGCACACGTTGGCCTGCACTCGGGGGTCTCAGCAGACCACCTGAGGATCGCCTGCCTGGACCACCCACTGCGGAGCTGGGAGTGGGACCTGGCTGCTGCAAGTGTCTCTGGGTGGGGGGCGCCCTGGGCCCGGCAGCCCCTCTTCAGGAGACCCACAGATCACCACGCGTTGGTTCAGGGCGCGCTCCGAGGCTGCCTCGGCGCAGGGAGCTCTGGGAGCCCGCACCGCCCACTGCACGGCCACCCTGTGGCATTAGTGCCCACGCTGCGTTCCTCCCCACGGCTGAGTGAATGGCCAAACCTACGCATTCGTGTTATTTTTAAAGAGCAAGGGAAAGACAAGCCTCGTTCTGGGTGTGCGAGAGCTGTGCACTGTTGGAGACCTCGCTTCACGGATGCGGGCGCTGCGGCCGTAATGAAGGGGTGGAAGTGAGCGCTGCTCGGCCAGGAGAGCGAGCGTTTTTTTTTTTTTTTTTTCTTTCTTTCTTTCTTTCCTTCAGTCAGATCTGAGCCTGGAACTGAATGTCTCCGCCGGAATCCTGCACCGCGCCTGCGGCTCTGCCCGCCCACCTGGCCGGAATATTCTGTCGAGATGGGGACTGCTCGGTGTGTCTTTCAGGGCACGTTCTAATTCTTCCAGATGTCTTAGGGCCTGGAGTGGGCAGTTGAGAACTGACCCCGACCCCGTGGAGGGGCTGAGTCAGGCTCACACAGCGCTGAGACCGCCTGCCCCTCGGCGGGTCAGCAGGACCTCTCACACGGGGACACGGTGTCGTTGACCGGCTGCTGTTTTAATCGGCCCGGCCCTCCAGGCCAGCTGAGCCCCGCTCGCAGGCTGTGCACTTGCGGGGAGGGCCCACACCGGCACCCCAGGCTCTGTTGTGCACCCAGGTGCTGCAGCCCCCCGCCGGTCCCTCTCGCCTCCCTCCAAGCCCTGGGAGAGGCTGCGGACCTGGATGGGGAGTGTTTGGGAGGCTGTTGGAGAGCCGTCCCAGGCCTGCCTAAGCCCTCGCTGTTCTCGGCCGCTTCATTTCACCCATTGGCCTGCTGGGCCCCCGGAACTCGGGCCCCACGGGGACAGGCCTTCCCCAGGCCACCAGGCACTCAGCGCAGCAGGAGAAATTCCAGGGAGGGTGTCTTCCCCGGGCCCCTGGGGGGTGTGGGAGGTTGAGCCTGAGGGGACCAGAGGCCCTCGTGGGGGTGCTGTTTGAGCGCACCTGGCAGGTGCTGTCTGGGCTGGGTGGCAGAAGGACCAGAAGGAAGGGGAGGACTTGGGTCTCCGGCAAGGCAGAGGCCACAGGTTGTCTGGAGGGGCCGGGGAGGGGGGCGACAGCGCCTGTGGCCGGGAGACTGGGCGCGGGGGCAGGGAGTCTGGGAGGGCAGGTCTCCCAGAGGCCACCGTGGACCTGTGCGGGTCCCCAAGCAACCGGCTTGACAGCTGTTGGGAAGAGGGAGTGGGAGTTTCGGGGCGCCAGCGGGGGGCATCCCAGCACCCGCAGACGGGCCAAAAATAGTGTGTGTCTATGAGCCGGTACAGCGAGGGTGTGCAGTCCCGAGCCCTCTCCCACAGGCCCACCAGGCGCTGGCAGAACCGGAGCAGAGACAGGGACGTCACCCGCAGCACGTGGGAGCACGGTTCCCCCGCCGCCCCCGGGGCGTGCGTCAGCGCAGGTTTTGGAGCGCGTCTTGGTAACATCTGTCTGAGATTACGTAACCTTTGACCCAGCGTTCCCGCTCGTAGGAAATGGTCTTGTCCAGCATACTTGCACAAGTCCGGGGGGTGGAGGTACAAAGTGTCCACGTCCCGAAGCCTCGCCGGCAGCCGCGTGATCCATGAGGCTGTGTGGTGCTGACCGGGAAGCCAGGCATCCTGGGCTGCGAGAGAGGCCTCCAGGCAGGTGTGCGTCCGGGCCAGGGCCCAAAAAGGCCCAGGGGCCCTGGGCCAGGCACGGTCGGCAGAGGCTGAGGGGGTGGAAGCTTGGAGGAGGAGGATGTGGGAAACTGAGGCAGACCCCACTGAGAGAGAGTTTGGCAAGAGGCCGGCTTCCGCAGACCTGGGTTTCCCATGCATCAGAGCTGCCGGGGGTGGCGACACCCGGACCAGAAGGGGGCAGAGAACGTGCGGGCCTGGGCCTTCGCTGCACCCACCTAAGCCTGAGGGTCCCCCGAGTGCCTGCTCCCCAAACTCAGCCCCAGCCTCGCCCTGGCCTGTGCCGTCTCCATCTTTTCCTCCTTCACCCTGCGGGTCCCCTTTCTTCCCCTGAAGCTGGACAGCGGCTCCGGTGGAGCCCAGAGGGGCGGGCCCCTGTTCCCCCTCTCAGTATTGGGGTCTGCCTGTGCTCCTGGCCGGCCGCTTCACACTCCTCCTGGCTGGCTCCCAGCTGGGGCCTGCGAGTTCTCCTCGCCGTTTGCAGAGGGGCTCCTGGGGGCTCCGTGCTCTCCCTCCCGGGCGTAGCTGCCTGCCCGGCGGCTTCACTCCTCACTGAAGACTGGCGCCTTCCCGAGTGTGCTGGTGGAGGCCGGCAGCCCCAAGCTGGGCGCGTGTGCAGAAGTGAGCGTCTTGGACATGGCCTGTTTTGGGTGGGGCCCAAGAACCGGATCCCCAGCGCCTCCTTGCCAAGTGTGACCGCATGCATCGTCTTTGGTTTTTACCGCGTCCTTTCAGACGCACGCAGCGTGGGTCCGTTTGCTTGAAATGTGCACTTCAACGCCCAAACTGCATTTGGCCTTGGACGCATCATGGTTGGTGCCACGTGTGCGTCCAGGGCCTTGGAAGCCGGGAGGAGGCTGTGAGTTTCAGGATCTGAAGGCGGTGGTGAGGAGGCAGCCAGGCAGAGGGAGGATGGCGGGGCAGGGCCGTGAGGGTCGCATGTGGGCAGGCCGCAGCCTGGTCGTGGTGGTTATGCTGGTGGCAGGAGGGGAGACCCGTGTCCACTGCTGTCAGCTGCTTCCCCCGATTTACCATGTGTGTCCAGGAGCCAGCCGAGGGGTCTGTGCAGTGGAATCGTTGGGTTTGAGATTCTCTGTTTGGGCCCCCTCCTCCCAGGGGTTGGGAATTAACCAGCGGCCTGTTGCCTCAGAACCCAGGCTGCCGTCGATGGTTGTCTGCAGCCAGGGCATCCGGGGACATAGGGACTGTTTGGCTGGCGGGTCAATGGCTGGAGTAAGGACTGGCCCCGGAGCCTGCCTCCAGCTCAGAGCTGGGCCACGCCTCATCGGCCCCCTGCAGGGCAGCCTACTGAGCTAACTGGCTTTGAGCTTGTCATCTGCACCACTGGCTTTGGAAAGCTCATCCACGTGCTAAACTGTTAGCAGCTGGGCGTCCATTTCTTTGGCCACGGTGCGGAGGGGGCGGCCCTTGCGTCGCCTTCCGCTGAAGTGACGGCCAGGAGGCCAAGGCCGAGTGACCGAGTGAGGACTTTGCATGACTGAGCCAGGGGCCTGCACCTGCTGAGGCGTTCCAGGAGCCGGTAACCAATTTACAGCTGCCTAATGACTGGAAATTGGTGGTGATATTAACAGGCTTCAAGCAAACATGGAAACCCCAGCCAAAGTTAACTCTTGCCAGGCTGATCGAGTCTGGGCTGGAGATGGCTCGCCAGGGTGGCGACGGCTGTGTTTGCCTTGGTCACCTGATCCTTAGTGGGTGGTTTGGTCCGTCATTCCCCACACGCTGATGGGCCGATGGCGAGCGTTCATTCTTTTTTTTTTTTTTTTTTTTTTTTTTTTGGACAGGCAGAGTGGACAGTGAGAGAGAGACAGAGAGAAAGGTCTTCCTTTTGCCGTTGGTTCACCTTCCAATGGCCGCTGCGGCCAGCGCGCTGTGGCCAGCACACCGCGCTGATCCGATGGCAGGAGCCAGGTACTTCTGGTCTCCCATGGGGTGCAGGGCCCAAGCACTTGGACCATCCTCCACTGCACTCCCTGGCCACAGCAGAGAGCTGGCCTGGAAGAGGGGCAACCGGGATAGAATCCGGTGACCCGACCGGGACTAGAACCTGGTGTGCCGACGCCACAAGGTGGAGGATTAGCCTAGTGAGCCGCGGCGCCGGCCTGAGCATTGATTCTAAGTGTCTGCCCCATCCTGGGGACCAGGGACAGGGGACTGGCCTGGGACACGAGGTAGCTGTGAGGTGGCACTCCCAGAGCTAGCTGACCGCTGGCTGGAGGGCATGGACCCTGGGGGCCGGGGGCTGCTTTGGCTGCCTGGCCTAGAGCCCTGGGAGTAGGTGCTGGGGCCTGCAGCCCACCGGGCACAGACACAGAAACGGGGCGTTCTGTGGGGTGCGGAGCAGGGGGCAGGCGTGGGTCCGAGCTGGGAAAGCTAACCTCTGCCCTCTGTCCCCCGCCCTCGTAGCATGGATAAGGACAGCCCGGACGTCCACCAGGACCTGAACGCCCTCAAGGCCAAGTTCCAGGAGCTGCGCAAGCTGGTGGGCGCCATGCCCGGCATCCACCTGAGCCCCGAGCAGCAGCAGCAGCAGCTGCACAGCCTCCGCGAGCAAGTGCGCACCAAGAACGCGCTGCTGCAGAAGTACAAGAGCCTCTGCATGTTCGAGATCCCCAAGGACTAGGGGGGGCGGGGAGGCAGGGGGCGCCACGGGGGGGGGGGGGCGGGGGCGCCGCGGGAGGGGCAGGGGGCGCCGCGGGCCCTGCTGCTCGCTTGGTGAGCGGTCCTGCTGGGGGCTCTGTAGTAATCCTGTGTCTGCTAATGACTCGTGTGCCTGGGGGGGGGGGGTCAGAATGTTCCTGGAGGCTGTGGGGGGAGCATGTGCTGTGTCAGCCCCCAGTGCTGCTGAAGAGCCCAGTAGGAGGGGGGGCGGCTCCTCTGGCCGCCTGGGGCCCTGCTAGGATCAGTGTGCCAGGTACAGACTGTTCCCGTCAGGAGACATTTGCATAGAATTCACCGGGAATTAGGCCTGCATGGGTTTAATGTGATTGAAGGAGGCTGTGGGAGTAGGAGGCTGCAGGCCAGGGCGGGCTGTCTCCCCTCCCCATGCTTCCTTTGATGTGTGAGAAGGGGGGAGCCCTGCGGGCCGCCCGCCCTGTGCCTCTTGTTCTTCTCCTGCCTGTGCCTGACGGGGCCCACACTCTTCCCCGGGAGGGGACCGGGCGTGCTTCCTGTCTTCCTGTCGTCCCCCCCCGCCCCCCGACTCGCCTGGTCCTGGTTAGCAGAAGCTTCTCACCCCGCTGGCCCTCTGTCACCACCCGAGAAGACCCCCTGGAGATGGGCGCCTCCCACCTTGTTGGCAGGAGTGCCAGTGCGGTGCAGGTGTTTGTGGCTGGGGTTCCAGCTCTAGGGGAGAGGGGGAGCGCCTGGCCCGGGAGGCAGCGGGGGAGCGGGAAGGAGGCCTGGTGACCGTGGCGGGGACAGAGGGGACCAGGTCTACCGGGGAACCACTGTCCTATGGAGTCGGTGATCCTCTCGGCATCTCAGAGCAGAGGGCGGCGGCTCCAAGGCTCTGATCTGGTACCGGAAAGCACAGGAAAGCATGGGGGTGGGGGCAGAGTGGTCTTCAGCTGCTGTGGTCCACAGGGTGTTAACACCCTGGCCTGAGGCGCCGGCACCCCATGTGGTTTGAGTCCTGGCTGCTCCACTTACCATCCAGCTCTCTGCTGTGGCCTGGGGAGGCAGTAGAAGATGGCCCAAGTCCTTGGGCCCCTGCATCTGCATGGGAGACCTGGAGGAAGCTCCTGGCTCCTGGCTTCGGATCGGCTCAGCTCCAGCCGTTGCGGCCATTTGGGGAGTGAACCATCGGATGGGAGACCTCTCTCTCTGTGTCTCTACCTCTCTGTAACTCTGTCTTTCAAATAAATAAAATATTAAAAAAAAAAAAAACTTTCCACTCACTGCTGCACACCATAGGTTTTCTTTTTCTTTTTTTTCTTTTTTAACCAGAATTCATAGTGGGATGCGGGTAGTTGAGGGGAAACGCTGCCTCCCTGGCCCCCAACCCCGTCTGTCCCCAGGGTGGTCCCCTCTGCACCTGCTGTGCGTGGCCCTGGTCTGTGCTTGGTGAGGTCAGGTGTGCGGGCCCGGTGGCAGTTACAGGGTCACTGGCGCCTGTGCTGAGCCCTTGCACAGCACACGTCATCCCCATGCAGCCCAGGCTTGGGGTCAGAAGTTGGGTACCCCAGATTTGCACTTAGGAGTGGCGAGGCTGGAGCAGGAGTCACCAGCAGGCCCCTTACCCACTGAGGGCCAGAAAGCGGGGGGAGCGCCTCCCAGAGGTGGGGAGTTTTACCTGCAGACACCTGGGCCCAGCTTCAGGCTCCGCTTTTCAAACAGGAGGGTTTGAAGGCTGAGGGCCTTCGGCCCAGGACCCCAGAGCCTGGAGGCAGGGGGCTGGGCAGGGTTCCCCGTAGCCTCTCCAGGATGGAAGACCAGGACACCTGCGGGAGCTCCGGGGTGGGGCCTAAAGCAGCTGGGCAGGTGGGGTCTTCAGGGTCCCCACTCTGGGGGCAGCCTCAGGATCCCTCATCCTGGGGCCAGCACTGTGGTGCCACGGGTAAAGCATCCCATATAGGCGCCGGTTCAAGTCCCGGCTGCTCCACTTCTGATCCGGCTCCCTGCTAATGCACCTGGGAAAGCAGCAGCAGATGGCCCAAGTGCCTGGGCCCCTGCACCCACGAGGGAGACCTGGAGGAAGCTCCTGGCTTCAGATGGGCCCAGCTCTGGCTGTGACGGCCATTTGGGGAGTGAACCAGCAGATGGAAGACCGACCTCTCTAACTCTTTCAAATGAATAAATCTTAAAAAAAAAAAAAAAAAAAAAAAAAGATCCCTTATGCGAAGGTTGATACAGGGTTGGATAGCGCCCCAAGTGGAAGAGCCTGGGCCGTGGACTCCGTCTTCCCCAGCTTTTCATGGAGCGCAGGGTTGGTGAATTCCGAGCTCCTGGGTCGGTGGATCCGTGGAAACCCTGCCCCTTTCCCTTTTGCCCTGCCCCTGCCTTCCAGCCGTCTCAAAGCAAAGGAAGTCCGCACTTCCATACTGAATTTTATTTTATATTAAAAAAGTCAACAATAATAATAAAGACCTCACACACATACACACACACAGTATAAACACCTGGATGAGTTTTTGTTCTTGTCCATGCTGACACCGGAACTATTAAAGTGCAAGTTTTGCGTTTTGTTTGTCCTTTGTGCGATTCCTCACACACACATGTAAACAAGTCACTCGCCTAGGATTGGCAGTTTCCAGAGCGCAAAGGCCTCGGGGCTGCGCAGGGGCCACGGACAAGCTAACGCTCGCCGGTCCTGACCCCCGGGCGGCCAGGACGTTCCTAGAACCCAGCAGCGGCCTGGCGCCCCTCCCTCCCCTCTCCCACCCTCAGAGAGGTTGGGGGAGCCCCAGGCTGAGCCAGTAGTCTTTCCTTCGCGAACAGATGACCGTCCCTTCTCGGCTCGCCGGCGCCTTCCCCAGGGCGCGGGCGCGCGGCGCGGCGCAGGGGGCGCGCAGCCAGGGCCGGCCGCGGCTACGCACGCACTGGACTCTTTAACATAACCACAAAAAGAAACGCACGGCCCTCCCCAAGCCGCGGGGCCCCTAGCTGATGACACAGCGCTCCTTGTCCTTGGCCTGGCCGCCGCCTGCCTTCTCGCGGATGTACAGGAGGTCGCTGTGCACGCTCGGCCTGCGCGCGAAGGGCGCCACGATGCCGAAGGCGTCGCCGGGGTCGCCGCCGCCCCTGCCCGCGCGCTGCAGCCACTTGGCACGCAGCGCCTTCTTGCTGTGCAGCGCGTCGCAGTACTGCACCGACACCTTGCGGTGCAAGTCCGGGCTCATCTCGCTCGGCAGCTTGGCCATGGCGAAGAGCGCGCGGAACATCTCGTCCAGGCTGCTGTTCCTCTTGGCCGAGATCTCGAAGTAGGCGCAGCGCCGGGGGTCGTCGCCCACCAGCTGCTGGATCTCGCGCGGCTCCACCTCGCGGTAGAAGTCCCGGTCGCCCTTGTTGCCACACACCACCAGCGGCACGTCCGCGTTCTCCTTGGTCTTGTTCTTGAGGCACGACTTGGTGTCCAGGATCTGCTGCTTGAGCCTCTGCACCTCCTCGAAGGAGTCGCGGTTGTCCAGGCTGAACACCAGGATGAACACGTCTCCTGCGGGCGGGGAGAGGGAGGTGAGGGCGGCGGCCGTGGCGGGCACGGGGCGGACTGGGCTCTGGGCGCGCACGGCGCGGGTCCCGGGCTGGGCTCCGGGCGCGCACGGCGAAGGTCCCGGACTGGGCTCCCCTGCACCTCCCCGCGCGCGCGCGAGCGAGGGTCCCGGCCCCGACCCCCGGCTCACCTGTGAGGATGGAGAGGCGCCGCATGGCCGGGAACGGGTGGTTGCCGGACGTGTCGAGGATGTCCAGCTGGTACAGCTCGCCGCGGATGGAGTAGAACTTGCGGTGGAAGTCCTCGATGGTGGGCGTGTAGGCGTCCTCGAAGCGGCCGGTGAGGAAGCGCGACACGATGGCCGTCTTGCCCACCTTGGACGAGCCCAAGACCACCATGCGGTAACAGTTCTTGGCCGGGATGCTCAGCTCCGAGTCGCCGGGGCACATCTTGTTGAGTACCGCGGCCAGTTTCATGGGGGCGAGAGCAGCGCGGAGGCGGGCAGCGGCCGGAGAGCTCGGCGGGGACTCGGGCGCGGAGAGGCTCCCGCTCGGCTCGGCTCAGATCCTTGGAGGCACGATCCCGGGAACAGAGCGTTCTGACTCCCCGCGCCCGCCGCCCGGGTTTATATGCAGCCCGCGCCTGCCAAGCCCCGCCCATCGGGAGCCCCGCCCCTTGCCCCGCCCCCGTCCCGCGGACTCGCCCCAGCCGGGCCCTGCCCGCTGCCCGCTGCCCGCTGCCCGTTCGGAGACAGCAGCCCGAGGCCGGGGCGAGGGGGACCTCGGGGTTTCTGGTCCCGGCCGTGCCTTTGCGCCTCTGTGATTTGGGGCCAGGATCCCCCTGAACCCCAACCCCGCAACAAGTACACGCGGGCCTACGCGTACGCCCGCTGCCCTCGGTCCTCAGCTTCCCCAGAAATCGCTTGTAGTCACCCCGCGGTAGCAGCGGCGTTTGCGGGGTGCTCGCGCGCACCGCGTCCGTCTGAGCCCCCAGCGCCGGGTCCCCGGCTGCCCCAGTGCGGGGAGCGCGTCCCCGGCAGGCCGTGTTTGCGGGCCACCGCCGCAGGGGGGCGGCAGAGAGCCCCACTGCGGCGCGCAGCGAGGGACTCAGTGGGGGCCAAGCCCTCGGGCAGCTCCTGGTCCCCCGAGATCCGCAGCCTCTTCTTGCAGCGGGGTGGGGGTCGCAGCCCAGTATCTGGGGGGCCTCTCCCGGCCGCGTGGCTGCGGCCCGGGCCTGCACTCGAACGCTGGAGCGCGGGGCAGGGCCCGGCTGCGGGTCCATCAGGAACCAGCGGCTGTCGATGCTGGCCAGAAATAGGCCGTCTGGAGCTCAGGAGGAAACCCTGGCTCGCGGCGTCCGGTATGGGGGATCCAGGGTTGGGGGGGCATCGGCTGGCTCTGCCCACCCAGCCACCTGCCTTCCTCCCAGTGTTTGCAGAAGGCGAAGGCTCACGCTTGCCTTGGGGTGGGGAGGAGCTCAGAGGTCTCCAGCCCGTCTGCGCTGGTGGCCTGCGGCTGCGTGCAGCTGGGTGCTCAGGCCTCCGGGGCTCGGAGTACCAAGCCCACCAGGCGCTGCTGTACACCTACATGTATGCTGCCTTCTGCGAGACCGCTGTGGGGGCAAGGACCGCTGGCTCTGTCCATTTTACAGGTGGAGAAACTGAGGCAGAGAGCAAGCGACTTGCCGGGGAAGGGGGGTCTCACAGCTGCCCACTGCATGGCTGGGGCTTGAACCCTGGGCCTCTCAACTCTTAACCACCCCAGGCTGGCTTCCCTCCCACCAGAGTGCGCCCTGGAGGGCTCACGGGCTCCTCCCTGTGTGTCCCCACGAGGATGGCCTGTACCTGTGGCCAGGGCCTGGGGAAAAAGTGGACTCCACAGGGCCATCCTCACCACCACCAACAGCACCCCTGCCCCTAACCCCAGAGAGGTGCAGTGGCCAAGGGCGGCAGGGTCAAGGGCCCGAGCCTTGGTCGCTGCTGTGCAGACCCAGGGGACCAGACCCCAGCTTCGACCGAGCGCCTCCCTCCCCTCCCTGCCCGGCCTGGGTGTTCCTGGCTGCATCACGCGCGCGTCCCATGGATGCCCGGCCTCCCTGTGGAGGTCGGTCCCTTCAGCCCTGGGCCCAGCTGCCAATTCCCCTGCCGATGGCCTCCGGGCGCACACGGCCTCCAGGACTGACGAGTAGAGCCGACTCCGGTTAGCTCGGCTGCCCCACTGCTAGGACAGCTGAGCTGCCCGGCTCCCCATAGCGCTGCCTCCTGGTGCCCCAGCTGCACACAGGAAGCCTTGGGGGGGTCTGCAAACCACCTTGCAATCCCCCAGACCCACCAGCCTCTGCCCCTGGCGCTCACACCCCAGCTTCCCCGTGGCCTAGCCTGCAGAGGGGCTGGGTCCCTGAGCAGGGTGCAATGGCAACTGTTTCATAGTATCTGACCAAGCGATGAGTATGACCCGGGCCTGGATAGTTGGCCTCTGAGGCAGGCCTTAGGCACACGGCCTGGTCTAGAGGCCCAGGTTCTGGAAGGTTCTTGGGAGCTGGGTGTGAGGACAGTGCCGGGCGGGGCCTTCTCAGGGCTCCAGGTGTGGCCGTGGCTGCCCAAGGGGGACGGAGCCCAGGCCAGCCCCTCCCCCAGCAGGCTCCCTTCCTGGAGCCCAGGCCACGCCCTCTGGCAGCTGCCTTCTCAGGGCGATCCCCTGTTCTGGCCACAGCAGAGCCATCCCCGAGAGGCCAGCTCACCCCCCAAACCCTGTGGCCCCCAGCTCCGAGGCGGGCTCAGCCCAGTGAGACTGCAGGGGGCGGCCGGCAGGGGCGTCGGGGACACAGGGACGTGAGATTGGTGTCGCGGTGCGGGGGCCAGCAGCCCAGAGGTTCTTCCCAGCACCACACCTGCGACCTGGCAAGTCCTCTGCACCCCAGGGGTTGAGCACGCCTGACCACACACAGGGCGCATGCGCACCCCGCCTCTGGGGAGACCCGGAGGGATCCAGGGAGGGCAGGGGGCGAGGCGTGAACACAGGCGAGGGGCCACAGGGTCTGTCCACTCCAACCCTACGCTAAGTGGGGAGCTGGGCACCTGCCCAGGCCTCATGGCAGAGGATGGGGTGGGGCCAGGACGAGGAGGGGTGGCCGGGCGCGAGGCTGTGCTCACGGGAGGACCCCGTGATGGCTTCCGGCCAGGGGCTCCCACCACAGTCATGGTGTCCAGTGTGCACTGAGCAGCCTTGGTGGGGACCGCCAGGCTCCTGGGGGTGCGGGGCTGACTCGGGACGCCCCACCCCCACCCCGGGTGCAGTGAGGGGAGGTGGCAAGGCGGGGTGGGGGGTTGTGGGGGGACACAGACGCCAGGGGGCCTGCTGGGGTCAGAGCGCCTTTATTGGGGAGTGTGGTCCTAGTAGGGGGCTGGAACCACCCGACGGCAGGTCCGGGGGCCCCCAAGGCACTGAAGCGCCCCTCTCCCCCAGCCGGCGGCTCTCCCCCACGCAGGGCCTGGCCCAGTCATCTTCGTTTGTGGGGCCTGGTGGTCTTCTGGCGGTAGATCTCTGCGGTGAATGGCCTGTGGGGGCGGGCCGAGGTCAGCTGGCCCCAGCCCCCAGCCGCTCCCCCTGTGGGAACCAGACCTGACCCCCACTCGGCCCCCCACCCCCAGCGCCTTCAGCCGCCACCAGGGCACAGCAGGTGCACCCGTGTCCCGCCCACTGGCCCCTACTCACTCCTCATAGTAGACAGCGACCATGTAGACGAGGGCCACCACGGCCGTCAGCAGCAGGCCCGTGGGGCTGGCGTATCTGTGGATACAGCCGCGCGTCAGGGGCGCTGCCCCCCGCCCACCGCCCCCCTCAAGACCTCTCCCTCCCTGCCTGGCTTTCTCCTTGGGGGCCAGGGTGCCCGCTGTCCGGGTCCCCATCTGCTGTCTCCTGGTCTGCCTACCCTGACTGCCGGGGGGGGGGGGGGTCCCTGGCTTCAGTCCCCGGCCAAGGCCGCGGCGGGAAGGCATGGGGAGGGCGGGGACAAGTGGCCTCTCGGGACAGGGACAGTGCCAGGGACCAAGACGGCTTCTAGAAGTGGGGTCCTCTGTACAGGGTGCTGCAGGGGGAGGGGAGTGGAAGACCCCGCCCCACCCCCTGGAGGAGGGGCCTGCAGCTCCCTCCCTGTGGACAGGGCACCTGCCGCGGGCTCTGAGCTGCTGACCAGCTTCTGACCTCGTGGGCGGCTTCTCGTGACGGAGCCAAGGAGCCGGCACGCATCTGCCTCGGGCTTCCAGAAATAGCTCCTGTCACGCTGTCCCCTGGTCCATTTCTATAATCACCTCTGATGTCAGAGGGGCCGGGCTGCCCCCGGTCAGCTGGGAGGAGGGGCTTGAGGACACAGGCACCCGTGGGGACCCTTGGCCGTGCTCATCACCCCCCACCTCTCCCTGCTGATCCGTCTGGAAGCTCAGCCTGCCCCTCCCTGCCACGCAGAGATGCTCTTGCTAACAGACCCCCATGGAGGCAGGATGGGCTAGGGGGGCCTGGAGGGAGCGGGAGCCCAGCACCCAGCGCCAGCCTCATGGCCTCCAGGTTGCTGCCACCCAGGCTCTCAGGCACCCTTGAGTCCCACTCGTGGGGCCCTAGCAGGTGGCAGACAGATGGGCTGGGTCAGCGCCGGGCTGCGGGGTAATGGCTTGTTGCTAACAAGTTCTCTGACCCAGGGCGCTAGCACGCGTGTTCATGTGTGTGCACACATGGTCATGCATGCATCACATACGTGTGTGCACATATGGTCATGTGTTATACAGGTGTCCGCGTGTATCGCATGCACATGTGTGCAGGGAGGGAGGTACCTGCTGTCTTGGGGAACTCAGGGGGTTGCGGGGAGGGCCTGGGTGGAGATGAGCGGGTCTAGGGGCACACGGTTCCCACCTCTCCCTGCCCCCCGCCGAACCCAAGGCCAGGTGAGCGGAGTCGGATTGAGGGTGAGCGGGAGGGACAGCTCACAGCCCCAGCTCGCAGGGCTGGGTGGGGGCTGCCCCGTCTGGGGAAAGCAGACAAGTCCCTCCTGGCTTCGTGTCACTCAAAAACCCCAGCCACTCCTAACACCCGAGGCTGCCGGAAGTGGCCCCAACGGCTGCGGGGTCGGAGGTCAGCAGGGGACACCTTGCCCCTGACGTCCGCCATTTAAGAGCCAGGTCTTTGGAGCCCTAAGATCCCTCCCTCCCTTGCCTGGTCTCCACTCCCTGGGGCCTGGCCCCTCTGAGGGGCGTGTCTTCGTGGCCTTGTCCAGTCGCCGCCCCCCCACCATGGGCTGGAGGCTGCCGGGGGGGGGGGCACGGGGAGGTTTGGGGAGCTCGCACGGGGGAGCCCCCAGCAGGTCGTGAGCTGCCTGTACTAAAAGGGACCAGACCACCCGGGCTTCCCACGTTCCAGCAGAGGTCACAGATACTTCCGGCATTGTTAAATGGTTAAAACCCAGGCAATGGCTATCTCGAGATGGGAGCATCGTGGGAAAGACAAACCTCAGGGCCACGCCGGCCCACGCCCGTCCCCCACTCACAGGAGGGCCCAGCCCAGGTAGTTTGCCGTGCTGCCCCAGTACATGGGGTTGTCCAGGACGTTGAAGGGGAACGTGGTCACCCTGGCCTCCTTGAGGATTCCAAAGTAGTCACCTGTGGA